GGCGACGCGACAGAAGATAACACCCACGACGCTGACGAAGAGGAGAATTGGTGGGGCAGGGGCCCACGGTGTCTCCGAGGCTATTGGTCAAAGCGGCGCCGTTGGTGGCCCCCCAGCCTCCAGCGCCTCCTTGGCCTATGGAGGGGCCCCCGCTCCGGATGGAAGGCCATCGGAGTGGGCGTGCTTGCTCTGGCCACCTGCCTCGCCTGCGTGGACGCAGGTGGCACCGCCGGCAGCTTGCGGCACCTCCGCGCCTGGGAACCCGAGTCGCAATCTCGGGTTCGTTTCCAGCGCTGCGTGCAGGAAGTGATGATTGGGTCAGTGGCGAGCTCGGACCTCGACGAATTTCGTCAGGCGGCTTACGTCTCGTCTCCTCTCACTAGCGTGCCCCGAGAAGCGTGGGCGAGTGGCCGCCAGCTGTCCTCGTGCACGGTGGTTCCGTCGACGGCAACCCGGTGCCGCCGATGACCTTCCCGATGCGCAGTTTGGCCGAGTGTTGGGGCCAACTGGGCGGCGAGGAGCACGCATCAGAAGTCTCCGCACTTACGGACTTCAATCTACTGCCGCAGGAGCGCACATATCACCTTTTTCACACGTTTTGACATACCCCGCAATCGCGTTCAGCGAGCTGGTCAGTTCAAGACCAACCACTCGGCTCTTAGCTTATTTTTCCTGCGCGCGGTAGGGGTAGCAAATGTGCAGTTGACCATGTGATTTTGCAGCGCTACAGCATGGCCGACCCGACCAACGCAACACAACTCGCATGTATGACGGGTCAACTGCGACGTTTTGGGCATATGATTGAAGGATCGCTGGGCACTTTCGCTTCAGTGGCTTATTCCGCCCAACAACAAACCTTCCTCACGGGTACACCCACACAAAATCAGACCCAGAGTGTCGATGACACTGCCGCTGGGTCGAGCTGGGGCGACCTGGGTCCAGCAGCATTGGGAGCGGCACCGGGCCCACTTGCACCGGCACCACCCGCGCAACAAAAAGAGGAACAGGAGGAGGAGGAGGAGGAGGAGGAGAAACAGGACCAGGAAGAGGAGGAGGAGGAGGAGAGGAGGAGAGGAGGTGGAGGGGAAGGAGGAGGAGGAGGAGGAGGGAGGAGGAGGAGGAAGAGGAGGAGGAGGAGGAGGAGGAGGGGGAGGAGGGGAGAGGAGGAGGGGAACGATCGCGAAGTGGCCCTTGCAGGATGTCGGTGGCCCCTGGTTGGCGCAGAGCTCCGGGAAAAGGGGATCTTGCCCGAACTCGGGTCGAACGTCTGGGCTGCGAAAGGCAGCGCAAAATAGGCATGTATGGGAGGTTCTGCCACATGCAAAGCCAGCGGCTGTCACAAGCTCTACGCCGCATGCTCTCGCTAAGCCTTCTCGGGGAGCAGGGAGCTAATTTGAGGCACTCTCCCAGGGTCCGACGCCCGTATCGGGCGGCCCACCGCCTTCCCCGCCTCATGCCGAGACCTGAAGTCTGCGAGAGCGGCCGGATGTTTTTCTCACAGCGCTGTATTAGGATCGTTGTGTGCCACAACTTACATTTAACAGATGGAGGAGGAGGAGAAGGAGGAGGATGAGGAGGAGGAGGGGAAAAGGAGGAGGAGGAGAAGGAGGAGGAAAAGGAGGAGGAGCAGCAGGAGGAAGAGGAGCAGGCGGAGGAGGAGGTCTGCTCGCCTCCGCGCTGGAGCCTCGCCAGGCCACCGACATCTTTTTCGCGGTGGACTCCGTGTCGGCGAGAGCAGTGCCTCTCTGCGTCTCGCATTATTCTAGATGTCCCTCAGCCGTCTCGTCCGCGCCAGCATGAGGAGGAGGAGGAGAAGGAGGAGGAGGAGAAGCAAGGAAGCGGAGGAGGATGATGAGGAGGAGGACCAGGAGGAGGAAACACAGGAGGATGATCAGGAGGAGGAGGAGGAGGAGAAGGATAAGGAGGAAGAGGGATTATGATGTTGCTGATGCTGATGGTGTAAAGTATGGTGATGATGATGTTGATGATGATGCTGATGATGAGGATGATTACAATGTTGTTGAGGAGGATAATGGTGATGCTGATGCTGCCGACATGGTGATGGCGATGATGAGGAATCTGACGAGGATGATGATGAGGATGCGGATGAGGATGGTGATGAGGATGTTGATGGCGATGATGATGCTGATGATTATGGGATGATAGTGATGATGATGACGATGACAATGATGATGCTGCTGATGCTGATGATGATGACGATGATGATGATGATGCTGATGATGCAAGTGTTGTTGATGAAGATGATGAGGATGATGTTGATGCTGATGGTGATGCTGGTGATTACGTATGATGATGTGCTGATGCTGATGCTGATGATGATGATGATGCGGGTCATGCTGATGATAACGATGATGAGGATGATGATGAGGATGAGGACGCGGATAAGGATGATGATGACGATATTGATGATGCTGATGATGAGATGGTGATGCTGATGAGGATGATGTTGATCATGGTGATGTTGATGATGATGAAGTTGACGGTGATGAGTATGCGGACGAGGATGAGGTTGATGATAATAATGGTGATGATGATGTTGCTGATGCTGCTGATGATGATCATCATGATGATGATTCTGCTGATGCTGATGCTGATGCTGATGACGATGATGCTGATGATGACGATGCTGATGATGCTGATGAAGATGATGCTGATGATGATGACGACGATGCTGATGATGCTGATGATGGTGATGGTGATGGTGATGATGCTGATCCTGATGGTGATGGTGATGATGCTGATGATGATGATGATGCTGATGCTGATGTTGATGCTGATGCGGATGATGAGGAGGAGGAGGAGGATGCGGAGGAGAATGAGGAAACCAGGAGGTGGAGGAGAAGGAGGAAAGGAGGAGAGGAGGATCCGGAGGAGGAGGCGGAGGAGGAGGAGGCGGAGGAGGAGGAGGAAGAAGAGGGGGAGGAGGAGGAGGACCAGTGCAAACCCAAGAGTCATCAACGATGTTGGAATAAACCCTCCCTCCAACCTCTCCCTTCATAGGCCCCTACAACGGTTCGTTTCCATTGAAGGAACTGCCTCTTTGGAAGACAGCCGTTTGAAGACCCTGAAGCAGCCAAAGCATTGTTCTCGGGATTCCAACGCCACGGATCAACCTGAGTGTCTCGTCTTGACAATCCTGAATCGTGCCGGAACGCCATTCCTGGGACTTAAACTGTTGTACCCGCGTAGTCCTGAATCCTTTCAAAACACTATTTCTAGCACGTTGATGATTGTATTCCGTGAGTCTCTTGTAAATGTTTAAAACGAATGTGCGCCGCGCTAAGGCGAGAGCCATATTTCGAAAAGGAACCGCCCTCAATCCGTAAAGCTCTTGTCAATCTTCAAACCGAATGTGTGCCGCGCTGGAGCGAGACTCACATTGTGAATACGATCTGCTCTCAATCTGTGAAACTCTTGCAAATGTTTAAAACGAGTGTGCACCGCGCTAAAGCGAGAACCATGTTTTGAAAAGGATCCGCCCTCAATCCGTGAAGCTCTTGCAATTTGTTTGACCGGATGTGCGCCGCGCTAAGGCGAGATTCACATTAAAAAAACGATCCGCCTTCAATCCGTAAAGCTCTTGCACGTGTTTAAAACGAATTTGCGCCGCGCGAAGGCGAGACCCACGTTTTGAAAAGGAGCCGCCCCCAATCCGTGAAGCGCTTGCGAATTTTTTAACCGAATGTGCGCCGCGCTGAGGCGAGACCCCCATTTTCAAAACGACCCGCCTTCAATCCGTGAACCTCCTGGAGATATTCTAAGCGAATGTGCGACGCGCGGAGGCGAGAGCCACATTTTGAAAAAGACCCGCCCTCCATCTGTGAAGCTGTTGCCAATTGTAAAGCTTCAGAGTCATCAGTGGTGAGGAAGTCTTAGGCGCAACGCCCGGCCCGCCCTGAACCTGGCCCCGAGGTGCGACAGGAGGAGGAGGAGGAGGAGGAAGGAGGAGGAGGAGGAGGATCAGGAGGAGGAGGAGGAGGACCCTGACCTCTAACGTATTGAATCATGCGATTCGGAGTTGTTTTCTCGATGTTCTTCCTTTGGGGGCTCTCTCTGGGGCCCAGGACCGTCAACAAAACGACTCGGGATGAAAACGCGGCCAGCGGGAAATGAGGAGGAGGAGGAGGTGGAGGAGGACCAGTGCAAACCCAAGAGTCATCAACGATGTTTGAATGAACCCTCCCTCCAAGCTCCCTCTTCATAGGCCCGTACAACGGTTCATTTCCGTTGAAGGAACTGCCTCTTTGGAAGACAGCCGTTTGAAGACCCTGAAGCGTGCCACAACATTGTTCTCGGGATTCCAACGCCACGGATCAACTTGACTGTTTCGTCTTGACAATCCTGAATCGTGCTGGAACGCCATTCCTGGGACTCCACAGCGAATCAACATTACTGTTGCGCCCGCAAAATCCTGAATGCTTTCAAACAGCCATCTCTGGCACGTTGACGATGGGATTCCGTGAGCCCTGGTAAATGTTTCAAAACGACTGTGCGCCGCGCTAAGGCGAGAGCCGTCTTTTGAAATGGAGCCGGCCCCAATCCGTTGAACTCCTGTAAACTTTTACAACGAATGTGCGCCGCACTGCGGTGGGAGCCACATTTTTATAACGACCCGCCCTCAATCCGTGAAGCTTTTTGCACATGTTTGAAACGAATGTGCGCCGCGCTAAGACGAGAGCCACAGTTTGAAAATGAACCGCCCTCAATCCGTGAAGCTCCTGCACATGTTTTAGAACGAGCGTGCGCCATGTTGTGGCGACAGCCACAGTTTGAAAAGGAACCGCCCTTACTTTTTGGTTGTAAAAGATCAGCTCTGTTTTAATGTTGTTTGTTTTGGTCGTTTGTTGTTGTTGTTATATATTTTATTATATATAGATATACTTAAACACGAATGGACGCGGCGCTGAGGCGAGAACCATATTTTGAACAGGAAGCGCCGTCAATCCGTGAAGCCCCTGCAAATCTTTAAAGCGTATGTGCGCCGCGCTGAGGCGAAAACAACATGTTGGAAACGATCCGCCCTCCACCTGTGAAGCTGTTGCCACACTCAAAGCTTCAGGGCCATAGACTGGCCTAGGGGTGACGGGGACAAGTGATTTATAAGGAAGAGGAACGGAGGAGAGACGGGCAAACGCCAGGGAGGGCCGCCGCGACATGCCTCGACTTACCCTGATAACGAACGGCGTCTGTCTGGAGTAAAGCGGACGGGGCTAGGATAAATCCGCTCCGGAGCGTTCTGGGATGCCTTCAGAGCGTTCCGGAACGCTCTGGGAAGGCCGCGGCGCCCGAGGCATCCTCCAGAGCCGTCCGATCTCAGAGACTCTCGATTCGTCCTCGCCTGAATTCGTCCTCGTCCTGGCTTCGTCTTTCAGGAGGGAAAGAAACACACAGACACAACTAATCGTCGATCCCCAGAAAATATGGGAAAACATGGGAAGTGGGGGGGAAGACGAAAACCCAAAGAACATGGGAAAATATGGGGGATATGTTTATTTGCGTGCATTTATTTGTGTGTCCCCGGGCCCCTTCAGTCTTAGAGTCCCTGCTGCCGCCGCCTCCTCTGCTCCGGCTGCCTCCCCTCCCCGCTCCTCCTCCGCTCCCGCCCCCCGCCTCCTGCACGGCGGGCGGCGTGCGGGGGCGCGTCGGTGCGCGTCCGCGAGCGCGCCCGCGAGCGAGGGCGTGGCGAGCGGATCTCGGGCGCCACCCCGCGCCCAGGGCTGCTGCAGGTGCCCCCTTGCGCCCGAGGTGCCCCCCCAGCGTTGGGCTCCATTGTCCCCAAGGGCGTATCGACTTTTCGCCCATCGACCTGTGGGAGTCGAGCCAGGTATAGCCAGGCAGATGCAGATACATCGAGGTAAAGCAAGATAACATCCGGGCACATCGAGATACGTCCGGACAAGTCCAGGTAGATCCAGAGATCTCCAGGCAAAGTTGGAGCAATTTCCGGCCGCTCCAGCGCGAGTCGAAGGACGGCCGAAGTCGTGAAGCCTTTAACGACATTTGAGAGACCCTGGGGTCTGCTGGGCCTCGTGAGGGGTGCTCCCGAGGCCCCGGGGGCCTCCTTGGAAATCCCGGGGGGTGCCTTCATCCCCCCGGGGCCGTCTTGGAGCGCAACCTGGCCGTCCCAGGTCCGTGCCGAAGGCCTGGCCAGGCCGCAGAAGCTGTTTGTGCCAGCGCCCTGCCTGGCCAGGGCCGTCCTCGACCCCCAGGATGGCGCACACGAGAAAGGCCAGCGGGCGTCATCCATGGCCCCTCCCCCCCCTGGGCAGTCACGATCGCCATCGGTGGGCGTTACGCTGCTTCTTCTGCGCCGCCGCCGTCGTCTTCGCCTCCCCGACGGGGAGGGGAGAATGATGGGCCTGTTCTCCACCACCACCACCACCACCATGAGTTGGAGGGGGGAAGGAGGAGGACGAGGAGGAGGACGAAGAGGAGGAGGAGGAGGAGGAGGAGGAGGAGGAGGAGGAGGAGGAGGGGGAGGAGGAGGAGGAGGAGCCGAGTCGTTTTTTGACAGCCCCGAGGCCCAGAAAAAGGGCCCCTAGAGGCCGACAACTTTGCAGCGCCTCCGCTTCGGCTTCTTTGCGACGCCGGCTGTCTGGGAGAGGGGGGCTGGGGTCGCAGGCTGCTTGTCGCCGTTCGTCGGTGTCGTCGTTGGCGTCGTCGGCGGCGGCGGCGTCTTCGTTGGCGTCGTCGTCGTCGGCGTCGTCGTCGGCGGCGTTCGTCGTCGTCGTCGTCGTCGTCGTCGTCGTCGTCGTCGGTGTCGTCGTCGGCGGCGTCGTCGTCGTAGTCGTCGTCGTCGACGTCGGCGTTGTCGTTGTCGCGTCGCGGCGGTCCGACAGCCCGCCCGCGATGTCCCATGCCTCCCGGCACAGCTCGGCTCGGCGCCAGGCGATCGTCGCCCAGATCCCGGACCTCTTCCTGGCGGGCGCCCCGGCGCGCTCGCGACGTGCAGTCAATCGGCGGCCAGCGAGGGCCCCCCCAGCCAACAACCAGGTCCTCCTCCTCCTCCTCCTCCTCCTCCTCCCTCCTCCTCCTCCTCCTCCTCCTCCTCCTCCTCCTCCTCCTCCTCCTCATCATCATCATCATCATCATCATCATCATCATCATCATCATCATCATCATCATCATCATCATCATCCGTAAGAGGGGCCACGGGCCACAAGATCCTCGAGCTCTGTGCGGGGGGGTTATCGGGTAGCCTTTTGGAGCTCCCCGCCAGGTCGCATCGCGAGTGGCTCCTCCAGCGCCCGCCAGGTCCTGAAGTCTTACGCGAGAGGATAGCTTCAATCGGCGGCAAGCGAGGGGGGGAAGAGAAGGCGAAGGCCTTCTCAGAAGGCGGCGGGGCTTCTCAGAAGGCCTGAGGCCTTCTGAGAGGTTTCCTGTAACGTCGGGAAAGCTCAGGACATTTTTCGCGACATGAAATCAAGGTGCTGAAGTAAGGGCGCCCTCGAGGGCGCGAAGTTATTCGCGCTTCGCGCTCCGCGGTTCGGCTACGATTCCTCCTCATCCTCCTCTTCTCCCCTTGAGGGAGGAGGGCTGGGTGTGGGGGGGGGCGCGAAAGTGCGAAGTCATTCGCGCTTCGCGCTTCGCGCAGCGCCCAGCGCGAAGTTCAGCGCCCTTGCTGAAGTAAGGACCGCTCTTGGGCTCAGGAGGGGCTCTGGTGTTTGCGCCGCTCCTCCGGCCAGGGTCGGGGGACCCTGTTCGTGGAAGAGGCTCGCCGAAACAGGTGAAGCCGAAGCCCCTTCGTTCCTTCTTGTGCGTTCCTCATGGCACGGGCGACGCATGAGCGACGCACCCGTTCTTTGTTTCGAACGGGGGGGGGTCAGCACGCCGGTTGCTTCACTGGGCCTCAACAGCCCCCTTCAATTGTCACGCGCTCTTTCTCACGGCGCAGCATTTGGCGCCCGCTTGCCGCCGGCAGGGGCACATGTCCGAGGCCCGCGCGCGCCTTGGCAGGGGGGGGCCCTCCGAAGTCGCGCCCGTCCGCACCCGGGCGGCGGTCGAACGTTCGGCCAGCTGGGGTCACGTGCGTCGGGGGCGGACAAAAGGGGCCGATTACCAGAGAGGGGGGGGGGGAAATCGTGGCAGGGTCCGCGATATCTCCCAGATCTCATGGCCCCATTCCTTCTTTCAATCCTCCCTGGCGCCGCGCGCGCTTGCCTCGGGCCGCGATGTGCGAGCCATTCCCCCCTTGGGCGTGCCGAGTTCCCGTCACAGCAGCCTCGCCGACGAAGACAAGGGAAACCGGTGTGACGAAGTCACTGGTTCGCCCAAAGCCACGGGCAAAGAAGACCTCGGTTTGCGGTGGCCACATCGGCGCAAGTCAAGGCTCCAACGATGGCGATGGACGAGGCAGACGCTCGCACCTCGCGAACTACGATCGCTAATGCGACGTAGTGAGGCACGCGTGTGAGAGGGCTGCTATTTGGTATTGTACCGTGAACTATGTTCGTGGATCGGCAGGCGATTATAAGTAGAGAGTGCACGTGAATGAGGCCGCGCGCCATAAATTATCACTGGTGTTTTTTTAGAGGATCGTGGTCAGTAGAACGTTCTTTCGTGATAGCTTGTTTTTTCTTCTTCAGTTCGCGCGCGGATCGAGCGCGCGGGCCGACGAGGCGCACCAGGCCCGCTTAAGCGCCAGACTCGAACGGTAGCCTCAGCTGCCTCCCTTGCCCTTTTCCGCCGCCATTTGGGGCTCGCAGGAGCTCCTTTCCGTGCAAGTGTGGTGTGCGTTTCCTTGTTTTCCCACGTGTTCTGCACGCCGAAAATAATGCAGCTTCTCACCCTGATCCTTTACTCTTGGCCCCTCGTGGCTCGTGATCTCGCCTCCTCTGTGCGCGGAGCCCGCCGGGTCTCGCGACAGGCAAGGTGAGGCTCGTCGTCGTCGTCGTCGTCGTGATGAGAATCACTCGGGGCTTGTAATCTCTGCTTCTCTGCGCGCGCACTTTCTCGGGGCTCGTGCCAGGCGAGCTTAGACCATCGTCGTCGTTGTCGTCGTTCCCGTCGTCGTCGTCGTGATCGCAATCTGTCGGAGCTCGTGCTCCCAGCCTCCCCGCGCGCAGAAGCCTGCGCTCCTCCTCCTCCTCCTTCTCCCCCTTCTCCTTCTCCTCCTCCTCCTCCTCCTCTTCTTCCTCCTCCTCCTCCTCCTCCTCCTCATCATCATCATCCTCCTCGTCGCGCACCAGGCAATAATGGAGCCGTCGTCGCACCTCCTCGGGGCCCCTGCCAGGGCAGTCTCCGAGCGCGAAGCCCTTTGGGGGCCCCACGTCGACGCGCCCAGTCAAGTGACCAATTGCCGCGCACAGCTCCTCCTCCTCCTCCCTCCTCCCTCCTCCTCCTCCTCCTCCCTGTCCTCCCCCTCCTCCTCCTCCTCCTCCTCCTCCTCCTCCTCCTCCTCCTCCTGCAACTGATGCGCACTTCTGCTCACTGCGGTGCACTGCGCGACCATTGCGTGCTCACTGCTCAGTGGCGTGCACTCCTGGCCATTGCCGCGCAGCGGTGCGCGCGGCTGGTCGCTGCTGCGCTCTGCTGTTCGCTGGCCAGACCCCCCGTGCGAAAAAAATCACGTCCACCGCAGAAGGGCGCGCCCCCTTCTCCATGATCAGCGCGGGCGCCCCCCATCCACGATGCGCGCGTGCTCCAGCAGCGCCAACGTGCAGTGCCAATCAGTTGGCGATCAGCTTGCAAGCAGCGGGCAATCAGCAATAGGCAGAGGTGAGTAGTGAGCAGGTGCGAATATTAGTCATCAGCAACGAGGAATGAATGCGCAAGCAACGGGCAACCAGTGATCAATGCCTGCGCGCTGATCGACTACTGCTTCTAGCTGCTCACTTGTTGCTGCCCGCCGCTGGCGGCTGATCCCTTGCCGCTGCCAATTTATCGTGACCGGCACTTGCTGGTTGCCCGCCGCTGGCAAGTCCTGTCCAATGGCCTTCCATAGTGACCATCCGTTCTAATGTGACGCACGCGCGCGCACGCCCCGAGCAGCCGCGACAACATCCCAACCCAGTGAATGTGATGTCCCAATGCCAAGCACGATCAGCCAATGCCAGGCATGACCATCCAAGGCCCACCAGTGCTTAGCACGACCATTCAATGCCAAGCAATGCCAAGCACGACCAACCAATGCCAACCAATGCCAGACACGACCACTCAATACCAAACACGACCGCTCAATGCCAAGCACGGACAACCAATGTCAAAGACGACCGCTCTTTGCCAAGCAATGCTCTGCAGAAATAAACGCGGGCCAGCGATGCAGAGCACGACCGACCAAAAACAAGCACGCGAAGCCAATGCCAAGGAATGCCTCGCCCAAAGCCCATGGGGCCAATCCCATCAGCTCTGGGGCATCCCCATAAGGCTCAGGGCATCTTACCAGGGTTCTCCCATAAGCTTGCCCACAGACTTCGCTGCGTCCACCTGCCTGTGGCTGCGAGGCCTTGATCAGAGACTGTTAGAAATCTTCCGTAAGTTTTGAATCCTCCACGCGGTGCTCTGAGGCAAGGTGATTTCCCCGAATTGCTCTGGCGCCTCTCCCAGAGGCTCGGGGTCTCGCCTCAGGGGCCGGGGGCGCTGCGCAGAGGCGGCCCCGCAAACCGCGAGGTTGTCTCCGAAGGCTCTGGGGCTTCTCCTGGAGGCCTCCTCTGGGGGGGCGGGGGCGGTGGCGGTGGGGGGTGGGGGGGGGGCCAAGACAAGCGCTGGACAACGTGTGCCAACGGGGGGGGGCGGGCGCCACCGCGGCGGCATGGGGGTCGCGGCCACTCAGGTGCGGATCGGTGGAGAAGCCGCGGGCGCCGGTGACTAGCCGCGAGCTGCATCTGGCACAGGTGTGCAATGAGTGGCACCACGTGGGCCATAAGTGAGCAGCACGAAAACAATCATTGCCTGCGCGCTGATCGACTACTGCTCCTAGCTGGTGACTTGTTGCTGCCCGCCGCTGGCAGTGACCGGTTACCGCTGCCAATTCATCATGACCGGCACTTGCTGGTTATTCACCGCTGGCAGGCCCCGCCCAATGGCCTCCCGTTGTGACCGTCCTTTTTCTCGTGAAGCACACGCGCACCAACCAACAGCAAGAACACCACCAGCAACAACAACAACAACAACAACAACAACAACAACAACAACAACAACAATAACAAGACAACCCAATGAGCATTATGCCCCAATGCCAAGCACGATCAGCCACTGCCAGGCACTACCATGCGAGGCCCAGCAGTGCCTAGCACGACCAGCCAATGCCAAGCAATGCCAAGCATGACCGACCAATGCCAACCAATGCCACAGACGCGACCACTCAATACCAAACACGACCATTCAATACCAAGCACGAACAACCAATGTCAAGGACGACCGCTCCTTGCCAAACAATCCGCAGGAGAAAGAGACGCGGCCAAGCGATGCAGAGCACGACCGACCAAAGACAAGCACGAGAAGCCAATGCCAAGGAATGCCTCGCCCAAAGTCCATGGGGCCAATCCCATCAGCTCTGGGTCATCCCCACAAGGCTCAGGGCATCTTACCAGGGCATCCACCTGTGGCTGCGAGGCCTTGATCAGAGACTGTTGGACATCTTCTCTGAGGCACCTCCCACAGAAGGAGATCTCCCCCAACGGCTCTGGCGCCTCTCCCAGAGACTCGGGGGCTTGCCTCAGGGACCTGGGACGTGCCGAGGGTGCTGCGCAGAGGCCTTGAGGGTTCTTCGAGGGCCCTCTTGGGGGGGGGAGGGACACAAAAGAACAGAAACTCGGTCGATCAGGAGCCTGGCAGCTTTGTATGTTCTTGTTTGTTTGACCCCCCCAAAAAAAGAATGGCGCCACCACGGCGGCATAGGGGGGCGTCCTTCCAGACTGTGGGACGTGCCGAGGATGCGCAGAGACACCCTCAGAAACCGCAAGGTTGTTTCGAGAGGACCTGGGTCTTCTTCCAAAGGCCTGTGAGGGCAGGGACGGCACAACGTGATCAACAAGTTCCAAGAAGATGATTAGTGTGTTTTTCTTCTTTGTTGTGCCCCCTTCAAAAATAAGCGCCACCACGGTGACAGGGTGGGCGTCTTTCCAGACTGTTGGTTGACGTTGTCGGCCGCTGCTTCTGTCGCCGTCCCTCCCTCCCTCCCTCCTTCGCCCGCCCTCTCTCTCTCCCTCTTTCTCGCTCTCTGCTTCTATCTCCCGTCGGCGCTGCGCCGCGTACTTCGGAGGCCAATCGTGCCGCGCGATGTCTCCCAGACCGCCACTTGAGAATCCCCCGTTTTCGATCCACGACGTCTGGGCGGGCCCTGCGGTGTCCATGCCATGTCCAGGCTCCCGACACCATGATTCTTTCTCTCATAACGTCGACCTCCAGAGGCCTCGACACACCCCCCGGGGGAGGGTGGTCGAGGAGGAGGAAGAGGAGGCCGGGGAGGGGGGGTCGAGGAGAAGGGAGAGGAGGAGGAGGAGGAGGAGGAAGAGGAGAAGGAGGAGGAGGAGGAGGGA